CTGTGTACAGGCCAGTCCTCCTCGGGCTCCTGCACATCAGCTGGGAACCCACTGGAGGGAGAAGACAAGCTCACCTTTCCTGCAGTTTTCTGACACTGCACCCACCAGCCACGTCCTGCCCAGGCTGTGAGTGACCCCAGTGACCCCTCGTGTCCCCCCAGCCGGTGGCACAACGGCAGCTCCAGGGTTTGCTGCAGGTCCTGGCAGCTGGGGAGATTCCCCCTGGCAGTTCCACACCCCAAGCACAGCACTTACACCCAGCAGTTTGGTACCACTGGGGCAGAACTTGGTACAGGGAAACAAAAAGCTTTGAGACACAAGGGAGAGTCAAATGCCTTAAAAGCCACAGAGAACTCGTGAGAGAAGGAGTCACCAACAGCAAATGAATATACAAGATCAGCCCAAGGCTATAAAACATCCTCTTCCTCCCTTCTGTGCACTCCAGACAGAAGAAACTGGATTTCAATCAAGGAAACGTGAGATAAGCACATTTGAATTGGGACAAAGGGCAGCCCCAAAGCTGGCACATTTTAACTGGGACAAAGGACAGCCCCAAAGCTGGCAATTATTTCAAGGTCAGACCGTGAACAACAAATAAATCCATGCCCCCATTCACCTTTTAGGTGAATTCATTCACCTGAACATTCACCTTTTAGGTGCAGAAGGGGAAAAGTGCAGGAAAACTGTTCATTTATGAGCAAAAAGCTTCCCCTGGAGAAAACAACACCTGTGGGATTTCACAGAATCCCAGAACCATTTGAAAGCTGTTGGTCTGACTCTCGGTTGTTCTTTATATTCCTGAAGTAGGACTGGCAGCAGTTTGTTGGAGTTTTTTATTCTAATACCAGGAAATACATTAAATACCAATTGGTATCTCTTACACTGAGCAGCATGAAATTAATTCCAAGGACTGTGGTGCCAGCAAATGTCCTTTGTGCCAGAGCCATCACAGGTCAGGAGGAGTTTGATTGCCATGCAGAACCTGCTGAGTGTAGGGACTTGCTTAAAAACCATAACCTTTTACAAAAAAAAAAAAACAAAAAAGAAAGCTACTTTATATTCACCTGAACAATAATATAAAATCTTAAAATCAGCTCTTATCCCAGCACAGCCCCTGCTCCAGGGATGGGCCTGGTCCTGTTCCAGGGATGGGCTTTGTCCTGTTTGCTCACTGACAGTTCACTGAAGCCTCAGACACGGGGGGAGGTTTGGAGGATGAAATGATGGAAAGCCTTGGGGTGGAAGGAAGAAGGCTGAAGATTCCAGCAGGAAAGCCTGGCAGGCTGCCATTCCCTTTGGAAGAGATCCAGTCCTATGTACATATTCACAAGTGTGTCCTGGGAGAAGAGGAGCTTCTTACAGAGCCTGGGATTTGTCTCAGTCCAGGGTTTGGAAAGCAAACCAAGAACAAAGAACTGTAAATGATCTACACACAGAGAACCACGTGGTAACTATGGCCCAGCCCAGGGGGAGCTCAGCCCCACAGCTCTTCTGTCCTTCCAAACTTGTAGATCAGAGTACTGAGGGGGAAAAAACAAAGGGAATAAAAATCAGACCATACATAAGGTAGTTTTAACAGTGTTCTTGACTCTCATCCTGTAAATCAACAGCCCTGGATTTGCATTCCAGCCAGTGGCTGTATTTTGTTTCCCGTGCATGGCTGAAGCTTTGGGAGCCAGATGAAGCTCAAACAAAAACTAACCAGTTTCACAGCCCTTCTGAAGGGAAAAACTGGTATTTATGGGATTCTAGGAGATTTAGGAAGTGCTGTTTCCTGCAGGAGCATCCCTAATTTCCCAGCCAGGGCATTGCTCCAGAGCCCACTGATCTCATTCCCTGCAAAGCATTTGATGTGGGACTGGAAGGAAAAGGGTCAGCACAGGAATTTAAAAAAAGGAGGTGAGGTGAAATTTTTCAGTGACTGATCTTGGAACTGACACTATTTAATGCTTTCAGTGTCTTTTATTAATGAGATCCCTGGATTGCAGAATCCATTCTACATCTAAAGAGTTATTACAGATACCAACTCAGTTCAAAGTGTTATATGAGAAACCCAACAATATGAGCTGAAATAAACCCAGTGTGCTGTTACAAAACACAGCAGCACGCTCTCAGAAAATGGAATTATCACTCTTTATAACTGCAGGCTCAGCCACTGGAAGGAAACACAGGTAATATCAACTATCAGATAATTGAGCCATCGGTGTGAAATAGTCTGGAAAGGGGCAATTGAATCTCCCACCTGGCTCTGCTGGGACAGATGCCAAGGTATTTGTAGCACAGAGCTAAAAGCACCATTGCCATGAGCCACAGACACTGGCAATATCTCAGCCAGAACACTGGCTGGATCCACATCCCAGAGCTGTAAATTCAGGGAGAGCAGAGAGAGCTGCACTAACAGGAGCCTGAGGGGAAGCAAGAGCCTCTCATGGGCTGGGAAGGGGCAAATCAAACCTTGTTTTTAAGCTCTGGGGCAAAGGGAGTAGGAAAAAGAACCCTTTTTCCAGGAATCTCAATGTATGGAAGCAGGTGAGTCCCTCTGGAAGGAGGGAAGTTTGCCCAGGTAACTTACCTGAAAAATATTAATGCATTTTGGAAAAACACTGCTAAGCCAGGGTACACATTAGTGTCTGCAAAGGAAGGAACAAAGGGAAGACATTGAGTTCTGCAGCACTGGGAGGGGTGTCCAGCACACAGCTCAGGGTCTCTGACCCAAACCTGGCTGCTGTGGCTTGGATCTCGTCAGACACCACCCACACCTCCACCCTTTGGGACCTCCTGCCAAAAGCTGGCAGGAAAAGCACTTTTCTAGAGGTGAAGAGAACCCAACTCACTCTGTGTGACATATGCTCCAAAGAGAATCCACATGGAAGCAATGAGGGATCCAAACATCAGCATGAAGCCGATGAAGAGCCAGATCCGAGCACCTGCAGGGAAGAGCAAAACCTCTGAGAACATGGGGGTTGTTCTCCATGTTATCCATGTTATCCATGGGGACAGGCAATCCAGCTGCTCTGGGATGGTGGTTAAACCCTGGATCAGGGACAAGACAACCCACCTGCTCACTCAGGGGAAAGGAAAAATATTCTCTTTTTCTCTTGAGCTGGTTCATGAATGACACATAAAAAAGCATCACAGGCCAGTCCAACCATCAGCAAATCCCACCAGATTTCCACTGAGGCATTTACAAATCCCATGGAAAAGGCTGCTGGGATCCACATGGGAAATGGGACAGGAATTCTGAAGGGAAGCAGAGGGGACAGCAGGGACACCACACAGGGGGTGACACAGAGGGAGTCTGGGACACATTCCTAAGGAATGTCTGCTCCAGAGCCCACCCCAGGGCAGGGATTTAGTTCTCCCAGCAGCCACCCAGGATTTGCAGAGGAAAGTTTAAGAAGCCAAGATATCCAGCAGTTGAATTTTTCTAAGTTCACCTTTTTAATAAAGACAGACCTTATCTCCAAGGGTTGATTCTGTAAAGAAATTAATTCACAGAATTCTCTCCTACTCCCTGTCTTCACATTATTTCTTTCACCACAAGTTGGAAAAAACCCCAACACAGAAATAACCAGTCCTTCAACTCAGTGGGACTTTCAGAATTAATTTACCTGTTCTCCCTAAGCATCCATCACTGTAGCTGTCTCCTCTCACCTGTGCATTGGATACAGCATTTATCCTAGGAACAAAAACAGCAGATACAATTCAGATTATTAGAAAAATCAATTTAAAGTTATAAGTTACAAATTCTGGAAAAACGTTCCTTGGCATTCTGTACAGTCACAAACCCAAATTCCTCCTTTTTTCTTGCCAATATTGGGTGATTCAATAAAAGTTGTTACTTCTCTTTCAAGCTTCCAGATTTACATCTCCATGACAAGAGCCAGACCATCACCTCTCCCATTTGAGGAAGTTTTGGGCAAGGAACAGGCGAAAAAATTGTTTCAAAGCAGGGGGGGAAATGCAGTCAAATGTTTTATATTGAGGTATTGAGTTAAGTATTGGGTTCTCCATTCCTGGAAGTGTTCCAGGCCAGGTTGGACGGGGCTTGGAGCACCCTGGGCTGGTGGAAGGTGTCCCTGCCCATGGCAGGGGTGGCACTGGAGGGGCTTTGGGGTCCCTCCCAGCCCAAACCACTCCATGATCCTATGATCTGTCCATACTGGACACTTGTCCTGTAACCCCTGGGCTGGACAGCTCAAGCTGAGTCGCTCAGAACCCCCCTGCCCCACTCACATGAAGAAGGCCAGAGTGGAGAAGACCCCACAGGTGTGGAAGGCGTGGTTGAGCTGCTCCGGCTTGGGATAAACGACGGCGGCGTCGATCATGATCCACCAGCCTGTGAAAAACTGGGAGCAAACACAGCCCTGTGAGCAACCTGCCAGGGCACAGGGGCAGAGGGAGACACCAGGGCCAGGCTTCAGGGACAGCACTGACTGGGTTTTAACGAGCACAAACTCTCCTGGAAAGACACTGAGTTGGACTCTAAAAGTGCTTGATGGACAAGTCCTGCACAAACCTCAATGTGCCCAGTTTTGGAGGAGTGTTTGGGAATTGGTCACATTTCTAATCAAATTAAAAATCAGGGTATGGATAACTTTATGCCCAGAGAAGCTGGGGCTGCCCCTGGATCCCTGGAAGTGTCCAAGGCCAGGTTGGACGGGGCTTGGAGCAACCTGGGCTGGTGGAAGGTGTCCCTGTCCATGGCAGGGGGTGGTGCTGGAGGGGCTTTGAGGTCCCTCCCAACCCAAACCTTCCCTGATTCTATGAACTTCCCTGTGCAGCCTTAGGAAGGAGAAACCTCTAACCACAGATGAGGTACAGATGATGCAGAACAGAGGTGTTCTAACTGAACTAATTATGCAGAAAATCCAGGAGGAATTTTTTTTTAAAGGTGGGCAGAAATGGTTCATCATCAGCAACGTCACAGGACTCATAAAAACGCTGCTGGCAATCCCACAAGACTTTAAGGAATCACAGAATGGCACTTCACAGAATCCCACAACATGCTGAGCTGGAAGGGACCCATCAGGATCATCCAGTCCAACCCCTGGCCCTGCACAGG